GTTTAAGAAGAGGTTCAGAGACACAGAAACATATTAATGCAGATTTCAGGAATGTGATCAGAAAAAAATCACGGGGAGAAAATATGGGACAAATGACTTCATTTTTTTCAACAAGTAAATTGCAAGATGGTGGGTATACATTAAAAGAGGTATCATAAACAAATGCAATATGTGGACTTGAAAGACTCTTCAGGAGCTCTGTACTGAGATAGTTCAGGACTAACAAAACAGTGTGATGTGAAAGAACTCTGCTGTGGAGGGTGAAGCCCGACTGTCCAGCATGACAGTGACCAGAGCTAGGAGGAGGTCATGTGGTTCATTGCACTCTCTATTTCAGTTTGAACTTCCTATTAGAAAAAAAACATGAGTTAAGACAATATCGCTTCAGCCTGGCACAGTGGCTCATACCTTTAATCCCAGCACTTGGGAGGCAGAGGCAGGTGGATCTCTGTGAGTTCAAGGCCAGCCTGGTCTACATAGTGAGTTCCAGGTCAGCCGGTACTACAGGGAGACCCTGTCTCAAAACAACAACAGAAAAAGACAATATAGCTTCACAAGAGTTTCTGATACACAAGAACCATTAAAGCTTGTTGCTATTATTGCTAAAATAGTTCTAAAAGACAATATATTAATGTGAAAAGCATCCAATTATTTTCTCAATTTTTCCAGTTGATTCCATAAAATTGTCATGACAAATATATGATGCCCAATATATTTTATGGGAAAATGATCCATGTCCCGTGAATTTCTTCTTTGCGTCTTTTTCTTTTCTAGTAACTTTGAAAATCCTACTATTGATCAAGCACTAATGGAAGACAGTACCAGCAGGTTTACCTGCAAAGGAAAACCAATTTACCATTTCATGGGAGTCAGTTCGTTCTCTCAATATACTGTGGTGTCAGAGGCTAATCTTGCCAAAATTGATGATGAAGCAAACTTAGAGAGAGTTTGTCTGATTGGATGTGGGTTCTCATCAGGCTATGGGGCTGCAATCAATAACGCCAAGGTAAATTATTAAATACTAGGCTACTAGGGTTACTGGGAGACAGTGTTATGTAAAAGAGCTAGAATTATCTTCAAGCCCTAGCTGTATCATTTATTGCCTCTATAATTAACTATATCATTTATTGCCTCTGTGATTACTTTCTGTATTTGGAATTGAACCCTGAGCTCTGCACATGCCAGGCAAATGTTGTACCAATGAGCTCTATCTCCACTCAACCTCTGTGATTTAAATGTTAGACTTCTCTAGAATAACACTGACTAGAAATACTCATGGGCTTATTAAATTATATTGTATATATAAAGCATTGACCTAGTAAGCCACATACATATGAGTGCTGGTTTAAATAAAGCCTGTAGGGAGAGGAGGGGGAGAAGAATCAGTTATGGAAGATAATAAATTCTTGTATATGACACAGGCAAAGCAAAAAGATAGGTACTGATTTCTGACTGAAGAGTGAAGAGTTTTGTAATCATCATTTAAGCCAGGCCTAGAATGACAGGCTACATTTTAATTTAGGGAAATAAGATAAAAGGTACACTGGCTGAAGGAGGAGTGGGTTAAGGCATGAGGAGAAGAAAGGGCCACCATTCATGGGGCTGTTGCTCTGGAATATCCTGGAGCTGGAGCTGGAAGATAAACAAAGGTCAGCAGTAATTTGTCAGGTGCTATAGCACATGCTTATATTATAGCAGTCTAGAAGCTGAAGCAAGAGGATCTTGAATTCAAGATCACTCTGGCCTACATAGTGAGACTGTCTCAAACAAGCAAACAAACAGCCTTCACTCCATGCAAAGACATTTGGACTTTATTCCACCTAAATGAATTGATAATTCAGGAAGTGAGTCCATTGATAGTTAAAGTCCATTCGTATTAGTGGTCATTCCAAAGCAACTGTAATGCTAATACAACAAAATTAAGTCTATTAGAAATACAGATGCCAAGTTACCTATGATCCAGTTTTGGTAGAAAAGAAAATAACTCTAGAATACACGGGCTTTTGAATTTTGTACTAATACCATGGAAGGGAAAAGCAAAACAAGGGGATCCTTTTCTCTTGGGTTTTCTCCCAATGAACTTTTAAATATTAATGACGCTTAAATAATTTTACAGACTTAGGTAGGAGTACATCTGTTTTCATGTGGGTATGTTTTCTCCACTGGATATATCATCGATTTCTAGCAATCTTGTATTTAAACATGTAAGTCCTCGTTGTACCGTCCTCCATGAGAAATGAAGGAGACCAGCAGTTTTAGCTTGCTCTATACCTTTGCTTCCTGCAGGTCACCCCGGGTTCCACTTGCGCTGTCTTTGGCCTCGGATGTGTGGGTCTTTCTGCTGTAATTGGGTGTAAAATAGCAGGAGCTTCCAGAATTATAGCTGTTGACATCAACAGTGAGAAGTTTCCAAAAGCCAAAGCCCTGGGAGCTACCGACTGCCTTAATCCCAGAGACCTAAACAAACCCATCCAGGATGTCATCACTGAACTGACAGGCGGAGGTGTGGATTTCTCCTTGGACTGTGCAGGAACAGCTCAAACCCTGGTACATCTATTTCTCTCCTCTCCCATCCTTTCAATCTTAGTTTCAATTTGTTCTTTTTTTTTTCTTTCCAGAAATCAGTTGATTCCACTAGCACTTGGCTCCATGGGTTTGTACCTAAAACACAGAGCTCTGAAGAAATCAAAATCAAAGTCTTTTATACCCTGTTACCTCCCCTCTATAGGTCAGGGTTTTTTTACTTTTTATTAATTGAATTTTTGTGTATTTCATACATAAAATCGTCTTTATACTCTCTTGCCATTCCCTTTTGGCACCCTCCCATAGCCCTCCCTTCCTCCACTGTACTTCATACATTTTGTCATTTGTGCTGAGCCCTATTATGTAAAGTTAGTGTCTCTCAGTGCAAGTTCATCCACTGGGGTTTAGTCAGCCTATCTAGAGTCTCTCTCTCTGTTCAAGAAGATCTGCTCTTCCTCACCCAGCAGTAATCAGCTGCCGATAATTCTTCAACTAAAATCCAGGCTTGCTATACATTTCCATAGTTCTGTGTTGGGTTTTTCTCTGCCTAAGTTTGTATGGGTCTTGTGCATGCTGACACCATTACTTCAGATTTGTATGAGAAGGGTCCCAGGCACCTATAGGACTATTTCTGAATGGTCATGCACCGCCTCCCTGGCTCTTACAATCTTTCCGCCCTCTCTTCCACAATAGTCCTTGAGCCCTGGATGGGTGGACCTCAATATAAGAGTCCTGTCCAGGGACCCACATTCTGCAGACTCTTTTTGTGGCCTTTTGTGCTCCTGTCCCTCTGTTGCATGAGGGAGCTTCACTGAAGAGAACTGAAAGATGCACTAATGGTCTCTTCATCCCTTGTTCTATGTTCCATGAGTCTTAGGTGTAGAGGCTGCATCTTAGATGTGCCACTTAAGCTTGAGCAATTCACAGAGAATCTCTGTGTGTGACTAGTAATGTAACTCTGTAATAATCTCTGTGGAAAAGAAAGTACATTGATGGGTGATGACTGGAATACTTGTTTATAAGGATTTGGTGTTAGGCTCCACAAATGAGGGAGAACATGTCTTCTGTTTTTCTGAGTCTCTGTTATTTCACTTAGTATAACACTGTCTAGATCCATCCATTTACCTGCAAATTTCACTATTTCATTTGCTGCTGAGAACTCCATTGTGTAAGTGTACTACATTTTTGTTAACCACTCGTCAGTTGAGGGACACTTAGGATGCTTCCATCTCTTAGCTATTGTGAAAAGAGCATCAACAAACATGGTTGTACAAATGTCTCTACAATAGGATGAGTCCTTTGGGTATCTGCCAAGGAGCGGTATAAACAGCTCATATGGCATGTTTATTTTTAGTGTTTTAAGAGTTCCCCACACCACTTTCCATAGGAGTTGGACGAATTTGCAATCCCATCAGCAGTAAATGAGCGTTCCCCTTTTTCCACATCCTCACCAGCATTTGGTATCATTTGTTCTCTTGATCTTAGCCAGTGTGACTGGGGTAAGATGAAATCTTAAGGTGGTTTTAATTTGCATTTCCCTAATTACTAATGATATTGAACACTTCTTAAGATGTTTCTTATCCATCTTTATTTCTTCCTTTGAGAACTTGGTTTAGATCTTTAGCCCATCTTTTAATTTGGTCATTTACTTTCTTTTTTTCCTTTTTTTTTTCGGGCTTTTTGAGACAGGGTCTTCCTCTAGCCCCAGCTGGCCTGGAACTCACTATGTAGACCAGATTGGCCTTGAACTCACAGAGATCTGCCTGCCTCTGCCTCCAAAGAGCTGGGACTAAAGACATGGGACACCATGCCTGGCTCATTTTTTTTCTTTATATATTCTGGATGTTAAACCTATAATAGATGTGTCACTGGTGAAGATTTTTTTTCCCACTCTGTGGGTTTTCTCTTCACTTTCCTGATTGTTTCTTTTGTTGTACAGAAGCTTTTGTTTTATGAGGTCTGACTTGATTATTCACCTTAATTCCTGAGTAACTGGTGTCCAATTTAGAAAGTCCTTTCCTACTCCTATATCTTGCCAATGTTTTCTTCTAATAGATTCAGAGTTTCCAGTTTCAAATTCAGGTCTTTGATCCATTTAGAGTACTTTTGTGCAAGGTGAAAGATAAGGATCTAGTTTCATTCTTCTACAGGTGGAGATCCAATTTTGCCAGCACCATTTGTTGAAGATGCTGTCTTTCCTCCAGTGAATGTTCTTGGCACCTTTGTCAAATATCAGGTGACTGAAATTGTGTGTTTTCAGATTAGGGTCTTCAAATATGTTCCATTGATCTGTGTGTCTATTTTTGTGCCAGTGCCATGTTGTTTTTATGACTATAGCTCTGTAGTAGACTTTGAGATCTGCCATAATAATCCCACCAGCATTGCTCTTAGTGTTCAGGGTTTCTTTCACTATCGGGGGTCTTTTGTGCTTCCATATGAATTTAAGGATTTTTTTTTCTAATTCCGTGAAGAACGTCATGGGGATTTTTATTGGGATTGCGTCGAATCTATATATTGCTTTTGGTAGAATGGTCATTTTCACAATATTAATTCTCCCAATGCATGAGCATGGAGGGTCCTTGCATTTTCTGGTGTCTCCCTCAATCTCTTTCTTTAAAGATTTAAATTTATCATTATAGAGATCTTTGATGTCTTTGGTCAGGTTTATTCCAAGATATTTTAATTTTTTGAGGCTATTATGAATGGGAAGGTTTCCCTGTACTCTTTCTCTGATTGATTGTTATTGGTACATAGAAAGGCCATTGATTTTTGTAGATTAATTTTGTAACCTGCCACTTTACTAAAGTGTTGATCAGTTCTAGGAGTTTTCTGGTGGAATTTTTGGGATCTCTTAGGTATAGTATCATCTACAAAAAGGAATAATTTGACCTCTTCTTTTCCAATTAGTACTCCTTTAATTTCCTTCTCTTGTCTTACTGCTCTTGCAAGAGATTCAAGCACTACGTTAAAAAGGAGTAGAGATAGTGGACATCCTTGTCTGCTTCCTGATATTAATGGGAATGCTTCCAGTTTTTCTCCATTTAGAATCATGTTGGCTGTGGGTTTGTTGTATATAGCTTTAATTATGTTGAGATATGTTCCCTTCTGTTCAATTCCCTTTAGAACTTTTATCATGAATGCATGTTGAATTTTGTCAAGGTCTTTTCTGCATCTATTGAGATGATGTGTTTTTTGTCTTTGAGTCCATTTATATGATTGATGATATTTGTTGGCTTGAGTGTATTGAACCATCCCTGCATCTCTGGAGTAAAGCCTACTTGATCATGGTGAATGATCTTTTTGATGTATGTCTGTACATCGTTTGCAAGTATTTTGTTGAGAATTTTTGCATCTATGTTCATTAAGGATATGGGTCTATAGTTTTCTTTTTTCGTTGTGTCTTTACCTGGTTTGGGTATTAGAGTGACGCTGGCTTCATAGAAAGAATTTGAGAGTTCTCCCTCTGTTTCTATCATTTTGAATAATTTAAGTAGTATTAGTTGGAGGTCTTTAAATGTCTGGTAGAAGTCTGCTGTAAATCCATCTGGGTCTGGGCTATTTTTAGTTGGGAGATTTTGTATTACTGTTTCTATTTCCTTATATGTTATGGGTCTGTTTAAACTGTGTATCTCTTCTTGGTTTAATTTTGGCAGTTCCCAAGATTTTAGATATCCATTCATTTCTTTTAGGTTTTCAAATTTAATAGAGTATGGATTTCTAAAGTAGTCCCCCCTTATAATGCTCTGGATCTTTTGGGGTGTCTGTTGTGATGTTTACCCTTTCATCTCTGATTTTGTTGATTTGGATTTGCTTTTTTTTTTTTTTTTTTGGTTAACTGGGCTAGCGGTCTGTCAATCTTGTTTATCTTTTCAAAGAACCAGCTCTTGGAATTGTTGAGTCTTTGTATTGTTTTCTTTGTTTCTATTTCATTAATATCTGCTCTGATTTTTGTTATTTCTTCTCATCTGCTGGGTTTGGGTTTCATTTATTCTTGCCTTTCCAGCATCTTGTGTTGAAATGTTAAGTCATTTATTTGTGCTCTTTTTGATTTTTTAATGTAGACACTTAGAGCTATAAAGCTCCTTCTTATGACTGTTTTTAAAGTGTCCCAGAGGTTTTGTTGTGTTGTATTGTCCTTTTCGTTGAATTTCAGGAATTATTTTATTTCTTTTTTAAAAATGTTTTTTAAAGTCTAATGATTTTCCGAATCGCACACAGTACTACTTCATTTACATAATTTCCACCCTTCTCTCTTCCCCATTCCAGAGATGATTTTGAGCTTTATTGCATTGTGGTCTGATAGAATACATGAAATTATTTCAATATTTTTTATATTTGTTAAAGTTTGTTTTGTGGCCCAGTATGTGGTCGATTTTTGAGAAAGTTCCATGGGATGCTGAATAGAAATTGTATTCTTTGGTGCTTGGGTGGAATATTCAAAAGATGTCTGTTAGCTCCATTTGATGTATGGGATCATTTATTTTCAGATGTCTCTCTGTCCTTCATCTGGTTGACCTGTCTAATGGAGACAGTGGGATACTGAACCTGTAGGTATTATTATTATTGAGTTGTAGGTAATCTGTGTCTTAAAGTCCTATAGTTTTGTTTTTATGAATTTGGATGCACCAGAGTTTGGTGCATATATGTCATTATTGTAAAATCTTCTTGGTTAATTGTTCCTTTGATGAGAATGATGATCCTCTTTATCTCTTCTGTTTAGATTTGATTTGAAGTCTGTTTTGTCAGATATTAGAATTGCAACCCCTGCTTGTTTCTTAGTGCCATTTGCTTGAAATATTCTTTTCCATCCTTTCACCTTAAGGTAGTGCCTGTCCTTGAAGGTGAGATGGGTTTCTTGTAGACAACAAAAAAAATGGATTTTGTTTCTTAATCCATTCAATTAGCCTATATCTTTTGACTGGGGAGCTCAGTCCATTGATAAAGTTATTATTGAAAGATGTGTATTGATTGCTATCATTTTGAAGACTGCATTCTTTGTCTAATTTTGTGTTTCCACAATTATA